CAAATGTGATGCTAACATTATTGCATTTTTGAAGAAACCCGTAATGGTTTTTTCATAACACTTACGTACTCATAAGATATTTCTGAATAATAATAATATTAATAATAAGGGTATATAACTCTTTCATAACTGAACCATGCAACGGTTACGATGTCCTGGTGTCGGCCTTTTATGATGATCACTATTTTTCATCCATTATTTAGAATCTATGTAAGCAAACCTTAAGATTGGATACATCCAACCTGAGAAATCAATTGGTCGGTGCTATGTATTATCGCATTTTCGCTTTGAACACACATTTACACATTTAAGCATGTAAGAGTCTTTTGAAAGTATCCAAGTAAAAAAAACTCGGTACTTTTACGAAATAATAGATCTTGCCCATATGCTTTGGTTAGACTATAGATGGCTCAGATGCACCCAAAATATTGTCGTCATTTCCAGTTCACCGGTTCCTAAAATGTTTATGTCATTGAGTATTTTGCAGAAATTCTAATCCTTAAATTTCAACATTTCAACTATTCTTTTGCTCGACAGTTCTACATTCGGGATATTATGAATTTAGCAAGTATCTATTACATTTTTTGCTTGATATGTATAACTATAAAAATTAAAATGATTTCTTCACAACACTTATGTACCCCATAATATGTCTGTGAACAATAATAGTAATAATAACGGTCTATATATACCGTGAGCTAATGATCCTTAGTCCCATCATTAATATAAATCCCTTTCAATTACAAAGAGGACTAATTCTGATTTTATTACAAGACCATTATTATTATTTCATTTCAGTCGTATTTATTCAGTTCTGTTGTAGTAGCGTCGAGTCGAGGACGGACTATGATCACTACCACAATTGGGTTACGCACTCAGCAACGACTTGGTTCCTTTGATTATTCGCAAACCAGAAGGCTTTAATTAGTCCAGATAAAGTATATTTATTGGTGATCTCGTGGTAATGAAAGAATACTGAGACGTGCCAATGAGTACAGGCAAAATAGACAGAGCGTAAGAAAGTTCGAACCAAACAAAGCGGATAGCGGAAGAAGAAGAAGAAGAAGCGAATCTGATACAATTAAACAAATACAGTAAAACAATCACTGGTACAATTGGTTACAATAATAATAATTGTTTCTATTATTTCAATCGTGTTCTAATCGAGACCGGCCGGTCACTACACTGTCATACTTTGCTTATGAATTACTATTGTATATGTTAGGTAGTTCAAGTACTGAATTATACATTCAGGAACACTTAAAATCTAGTTTTTAATTCTTTTACCTTTTCTTTTATCATTGAGTATAAAGATAATGAATATAACAATATCCAAGGTTAAAAGAGTTTGATGTAAGAATATTCTTTCAACATCATTTAGGGAGACTCGTATTCACATTGTAGCATTGTCACATAATCTAAACATCAGTGCATAAAAAGTAGATATATTAACTATTATCATAGACATAGAATATCTTCATGGTTCATGAGTCAATCATGAGTCAATTGAAGCTAGACCAACATGGAAAACCTGGAAGCATTGAAAGGCCGTTTCGTCCCATTATGGAACTCCTCAGCAGTGCGAATCCACGATTCTTCCTTGCGAGATTCCAACCCAGGGTAAGAATTCAGCGGAGAGAATTTTCCTTTTTCAACGACGTCATTTATTTAAGCTATACTTCAGTATCTATAGTTTTATGAAAAATATATGTCTATAGGAGGTTAGGAAAGATTGCATTATAAATTGATTCGATAATAAAAAACAAATAAGGTTACGTACTGATCAAAGGGTAAGGAAGAAAATAATTTGAATCAGATAACAGTCAAATTGACAGATATGAAGAAAAGTGACAAACACAAATTTCCTGGGGTTCTAGTAAGAAACAGTAACCGGTGGAGTTCAACAAGTTCTGTCGGGAGATATCAACTCACTGAAGTCATTGATGAATGGCTGCTCAATTTTGTGGATTGTTTGAAGTTAAACATGGATGGCGATTCAGTAGTCTAGTGGTTAAACGCTTGCGCACGAGACTGTTAGGTCCTGTGTCTAAATCTCATGAGGCGAGATCGTGGATGCGCACTGCTGAAGAGTCCCACAATATGACGAAACGGCCGTCCAGTGCTTCCAGGTTTCTCATGATGGTCTAAAATCTCCACAAAACCCCCTTCCGAATAATAATCATGAAAACTTGTATAAGGTAATAATAATAACTGGTTAGAGTTAAAAAAGCAAAGCAGTAATTTAAAAAACGAAAATTCGATAACAATCAATTAAAAGTGCAAAAACAGAATTAACAACGACAACAACCCGAAACATACTCATTAAGGGAATAAGGGCCAAAGAAGGGTGAGAGGTTGAACAAATCGTTTCTGCAAGCAAAGTTCAGGCAGTGCAAAAAATATTGATTAGAACCGCCTTCGATCTAGTTTCTTTGACTTTGTAGATTACTTTAAAAGAAGAGTCTTTTGTAGGGATATGTCCACATTTAAATAAATGCTCTTTTATTGAACCAGTAATCTTTTTACATTATCCTTTTAGGAGCCAAGCCAGATAGTGTTACGAGATGCGTTTGGAAAGTGGTCGCTTTGAGCGGCCTCTGTAACATGCCCCACATGAGCAAATAATTTCATAGATACACATTGATGTGGCTCAAAGCAAACGTTTATCCTTAGCACGGCTTAAATAAATGGTTTCGTTGAAAAGAAAATTTTCTTCGCTGAATTCTCTTTTTCTTATTTAATAGACAATTCCTTTTTTTAACAATGTTAATAACCCACAAACTGAACTATATATATATATATATATATTTCAAAATATCAGTCATCAGACATACAGTGTATCGTATAGAATGATTATATGATATGTATAAGTAACAATGTTGTGTGGTCTACTTGAATCCATATAAGTAGTAATATGGTGATGGTCAGACATAGAATGTATTTTGGCGGAAGATCGATAAAGAACGGACAGGAATGAAGCGCAATCGATATGAAAATGCCTGAACAATGAAATTAGAGATGACAGACTGATATTTGCAGAAGGAACAATGAAGATTGCGGCAATTGATTGTTATCTTGCAAATTAACTGTTGACTGTATGGTTATCAGAATTTGGTGAGATAGTCTGTAATTTGTGTCTGAATACTTTCGATTATCCCCAACTAGTGTTTTGTTCACTACAACAGCAATCAGTATATAGTTCTTATTTGTAGTCACATTTAAGCATAGGTAGCTCTGTTTAAGATATTATTATCGTGTTCCAGTAATTCTGTCCATAGAACAATTCTACTCACCCTCTGTAAAGTTTGTATATATACTGTTCTTAAAAATTAATTATTCACTGAGTTCGAATCTATATCATGTTTGCCAGCTCATCCTTAGTTCTGTAGAAAGTCTGCCGATCAAATTTTAGGGGATCAGTTGGGGCCGAAACAAATCAATGGTAGCTTCTTTGACTGAAAAGTAGGTTGGAGGGTATAGTTTTCTTTTCTTTCACCACAATCATCAAAAACTGATCAGCATGGACCTAAATGAATCCAATGGTAACTTCTTTGACTGAAAAGTAGGTCGGAGGGCTTCATTTTTATTTTATTTTTCTCCAATCATCGAAAATCGGTGCCGATGGAATTATGTCAGTATTGAGAATATTAAAGGTATTACATAGATCGCTGTCCAATGATCAGACAGGGTAAAGGTTTACTGCACAACTAATCACATTACACATTCCTTTGGACTGAATCAATAATAATGAACTGACGTTCTGATCAAATAAGTTTTCTCAATCCTACTTAATAGTCTTAAACGTTTGTTTAGAGACTGGAACTTCTTATAATTAAACCTTAGAAGGAATATGTATATCTTGGAAGTCTGATCAGCCACAATGGGTTGTTGTCTGATGAGATCTCTGAACAGATTCCGAAAGGTCGTTTGGGTTTCGATAACTTAAGTCACTTATGGCGAAGACGATATATATATTAATAAAGGAACGAGTACATTGCTCTGTTCTGTTTTATTTTACGGCTGCGATACATGACGATTTAAAGTAGAAGATACTCATAAGTTACTAGTATTTCACAACAGATTTCTTAGAAATATAGCTCACATCTGTTGGGATCACCGGGTAAGTAATAGTGAGGTTAGACACAGGATATTAGGAAATGATAGTAAATCAGTTGATGAGATCATGAATCTTCATCGATTGAGATGGTTGGCTCACGTGTTACGTATGCCTGAACACCGATTACCACGACGCATTATGCTAACAAGTGCTGAGGATGGTTGGAAGGAAGATAGGGTTAACCAAACCAAAACATGGCATCAGTTCTTGAAGTTACTAACTTATGAGCTCAGGCATGTTAGCAGATGCAGATTACTTGTTTGGGGTCCGCACGACTATGGTAACTAATAACTGGAGACCCTGAGTAACATTGGCTTATGTGTATACACTGTCTACGAACTAATTCTTTCTCTCTGTATTATATCCTTATACACAATGTTTCATTTATATATTACTACCATTGAAGTTACTACTTCTATGTATTTAGTATTCATCTTATTGTGCTAATAAGGTGTGGCAACTTAAATATGATTCATATAAATATATATGTGCCTATGTTGTGCTATATTGTAGCTGACTGACTGACTGATTGATTGATTGATTGACTGACTGACTCAAATGTATCAACGGTTCATTAATCTTTCTCTCTCTGTGTGTGAGATAAATAAAATAAACAAAAAAAACAAACAAAAAAACAAAAAGAAAACAAACTCCATTTATATACAGTTTGATTCCTTCAATTAGCAACAAGATTTTGTACTAACCAATCATGAATCGTATATCTCATTCGAAGAATTATTCTTATAGGCTAAACATGTTTTCATTACCAATGATAATATAATTAATCATATATGTATGTATAAAGTAAAAAAAATTAGCTTAGTAACAATTGCATAGCAACTAAATTGAATTTTTCTTTTTTTTCTATTTTTATCTTTTTTTTCAAATGACAATAAAAACTTTTTCTCTCTCAAATGTATCAAGGATTCATTTATCTTTCTCTGTGTGATAAGTAAATAAACAAAAAAAAAACAACAAAAAAAGAACGAACTCTATTTGATTCCTTCAATTAACAACAAGATTTTGTACTAACCAATCATGAATCGTATATCTCATTCGAACAATTATTCTTATGGGTTAACATGTTTTCATTACCAATGATAATATAATTAATCATATATGTATGTCTAAAGTAACAATTAACTTAGTAACAATTGCATAGCAACTAAATTCAGTTTTCTTTTCTTTTTTTCTTTTTTATTCTAAATTTTTTTCTTTTTTTTCTTTCCTCAATTATGATCAAATTATGTTCATATTATTTAAATCATCATAAAAATTATCAAATTCTTCATTTGTATAATGAATATCAATTAAATAATAAAATTTTATTTTCATTATTAATTATTATTATATTAATTACATGGAGTATATTCTATTTTATAATACCAAATAATAAGGATAATACTAATGATCATGGAATAGAATCATTCATTATCAATAAATCTATGGTAAGTTCATTTTATTAGTTTGATATGAAATGAGTTGAATCATTTAATTGATAATATTGATCAGTTATTATTTTAAGGGTTCGAATCTCGCTCACAATTATGGGATCATGGATACGAATTGTCACTGAGGAATTCCATAATAGGACAAAACGGTAATCCAGTACTTTTAGATTTTTCATGATGATCTAGTTTTAATTGAGTCATGATTTCAACTGTGAAAATTAATTGGTTTATTAGTTGAGATCATGAGTTAATTGATGCTAGACCATCATGGAAAACTTGGAAGCATTGGATGATTGTTTCATTCTATTGTGGAACTCCTCAGCAATGAGCATAAATGATCATGTCACAGTAGAATCGAACCTACCAGTCTCGTACCAGAGCACTTAACCGATAGATTATTGAGCCGGCATCGGATGGTGTTAATGTCTAACTTCAACCAATCCGCGAAGTTGATTAATTGTATTCAGTGAGCTCCTATCCCATAACAAACGTGGTTTGAACTCCACTGGTCACTGCCTCTCTAGCTAGGTGAGGTTGTGGATGCGCACTGATGAGAAGTCGCACAATAGGACGAAACGGTCATCTAGTGCTTCCTGGTTTATTATGATGGTCCAGCTTCAATTGACTCATGCTTTCAACGATGAAAATTCATTTTTTATTAGAAAGGGGTTTTTGTGAAAATTATAGTAATTTTTCATAGTTCAGATAATAAGTTAATGGATACTAGATAACCATAGAAAACGTGAGAGCGTTAGATGACCGCTTCATTCTATTGTCGAACTTAAGGAGCAGTGAGCATCCATGATCCCGTCACACGAGATTCAAACACAGGACTTATAGGTCTCGCGCGCGAACTCTTAACCTATAGATCACTGATGTATTGCTGAATTTTGTGGATAAGTTGAAGTTAGATATTAACACCGTTGGATGTCGGCTTAGGATATATGTTGGGCTCTGTTCTGTTCACGATAGTTTTATTTCACAGGTATTGAAGTTTCATTGTAAGTTATTGAGTTCTGTCAACTTATTTATTGATTATGATATTTTGATATTGTTTGCGTCTGTCAGATCTAAATTTCAAGATTTATTTATTTATTTATTTAAACACATAAATATTGGTACAAGGAAGCACTAGATACATATGCGCCACGCAAATCTCATTTGATTTGTGTGATGGCTGTAATACTGCCAAGGTGCCCAAACTGAAACAGGTGGTTTTCATAGAGGACCACACCCGGAGCCTTCGACCTAAAGATCTGATCCACAAGGCAGTGGAGCATCATGCGGAGATTCAGTCCTATGGTGGCCGGTGACCAACGATTGATTCATACGCCATTTGTTCCATCAAGATACTGGAGCCAGCCCATGTGCACCGTTGGTTTGGAACCAGGGTTTTAAAACTCTCCTAGATGAACATTCCGTGTCCACCAACCCGGTCAAAGCACCGGACATTCACTTTTCGTCCTCTCAATTTTGTAAACAACAGTAATGCCGAAAGAAGCCAGTGAGTAGGACTTTTCTGACAGAGGCTATGTATTTGCTTAACATGTTGATATTCATAAATATGTCTGAATAGATAAATATTAAGTTCAGGTCTCTTTGTAAATATCATAAATTGGTTGTAGTTACATTCATCCGATTAGTTTCATATAAAGTCAAAAATACTTGCTACATTTGTCTGTTTATTAAGATTTAAGGGTATGATAGTAAATTCGTTTTTGTTATGACACAATAACGATTAGAATGTTTACAAATTGAACATTTAACCAACATCCTCTAATCTATTTAAAACGAAATAAAGGTAAATTCTGTTAGGTATTTCCTGGAGTTCAAATAAGAAACCATGACCACTTGAGTTCCACTACGTCTGCTGTAAAAGTAGTTACTCAATGAAGACAATGATAGACTGTTGTGTAATATTATGAATTGGTTGAAGTTAAACACTAACACCACTGGATTCTGTTTCAGTGATCTAGATTTTAAGTGTTCGGGTATGAGACTGAAGGTCCTGGATTAAAATAACGCGCACGAGATCGTGGATACACTGCTGAGAAGTCCCATGCTAGGACAAAATGACCGTCCAGTGCTTCCCCATTTTCCAAAGTGGTCTAGCTTCAATCAATTTACAAACTGATACGTCGATAACAAGACATTTGTTTGAGAAATCTCAGTTCAAAATGTTTGTAATTAATTTATGTACAAATGAAGTGTGAACTGTTTATTATTTGAAAGAAAAACAATTATACTTTCCTGATTATAAGAGATTATTACGTCATGGAACAAAGTTATGAAAAGTAATTGAATCTTCCAATGGAGTTGAGTTCTTTAAGTTAAACAGCCTGATTTAGAAGCTCCCTGTGTTATCCTATACGACAAATTCAGTGCCTACTTCACCCAGAAATGAATCTTTCAATTATTCCATTAGTGTTATATCAGATCGTTTTTTGCTAGGTGATCGAATATAATCTGACAGTTTTAAAAAGTAAATCTGTTGTCACTTTATAAAAGGTCATCGCCAATTTGTCATGATTTTATATCCGACTTTTATCACGTGATTTATTTACCAATCGAACGAAGACTTATCTAATCTTAACACTGTGCCAAATCAATGACGTTCGACTAGTATGAGCAGTCTAGCGTCCTTATTGGTCCCTTGTCCGCCTAGCTCTTCCAATTAAGTCCAGAACACCAATTACAGCTTCTGCTATACGAATCATTTATTTCAAGCATACTTCGTTTATATACCAGGCAAACAGACCGCAACACATTATAAAATAGACCAAGTCAAATGTGGCTATGAACGCAGGAGACGGTAATCAATAAACTGAATATAATTTGGGGGACAGTAAATCGTATAATAATAATAATCCATAGGTCAAAATGAAGCTTGTAATAAGATGAATATAAATATACACAATCTAATTACTCAATAGTTAGACAATAAGAATATATATAGAATAATAGTCTATGAATAGGTCCTGGGAGTTACCCGTACTTATGTCTTCACCAGGATGTAACAAAATCTTAATTACTTACTAGTCATACGGGTATTAAGAAGTAATTTACAGAAAACATGTAAAAGATAATTGTCTAGTTCATAAATAAGTTGGAGGAAAAGAGTTAAACTGATAATGGAAACCCATAAGTAAACTGAAGAGAAAACCTCATTATTTTACTAACCTTCAGATATATCGGTATTTATATTGAATAAGAATCTCATAAATTGTACATAGTTGAGATCATGAGTCAATTGAAGCTAGACCACCATGAGATACCTGGAAGCACTGAAAAACCATTTCATCCCATTGTGGGACTCCTCAGTAGTGCGCATCCACGATAACGCCTCGCGACACTCTAATGCCGAACCTATCAGTCTCGCGCACAAGCACATAACCACACCCCTGAGGAGTCTCACAATGGGACAAACGGCCGCCCGATGCTTCCAGGCTTTCCATGGAAGTCTAGCTTTAATTGACCCATGATTTCAACTATATAAAATTACCTAAAATCTCCACAGAACCCTTTTTTCTAATCAATTATGTTAATATTAGCAATCATAACTTTGTTTACAGAAATTAGGCTTATGAATTTTTGTATCAGAATAGGTTTTGTGGAGATTTCAGTATTTTTCAAAGTTCAAATCATGAGTCAATTAAAGCTAGACTAACATGGAAAACCTGGAAGTACTGGACGGCTGTTTCATCCTATTGTGGGACTCCTCAGCAGTACGCATCCACGATCACGCCTCGAGCGATTCGAACCCTGGACCTACCAGTCTCGAGCCAGAGCCCTCAACCGATAGACCTTAACGATAGTAATGCTGATAATGTAAATTATTAAGTAAACTTAAGTGAAAACCTAATTATTTTACTAACCTTCAGATATATCAGTATTCATATTGAATAAAAATCTCATCAGTTGTACATAGTTGAAATCATGAGTCAACTGAAACTCTTAATTGAAGCGCCCAACCACACTGCAAAGGAGTCCCACAATAGGACGAAACTGCCGTCCAATGCTTTCAGGTTTTTCATAGTAGTCTATCTTCAATTGATTCATGATTTCAACTTTGAAAATTATTGTATCATTCAAACATTTAATAGCTTACCTAAAGGGTTACTACCTTCTTCAACACCACGTTCATCCTTAGCTAATTATGTAATCAACCAAACAAAATATTTGTTTTTCTAATTTTCTATTTTTATGTGAGCAAATATTTGATTTCGATTTAATTTTTTTTGCTTTTTTCATTTTGAGTATTTAATAGATAAACTGTAAGTATGATTACATGATGGTTTGAATATACTACTTAAATAACTCCGTTCATTCATTCATTAATACCAAGTGAATTCAAACTTCACCCCATTGCACAAGCAAAGTGGCTATCAGGATTCAGTAAGTGAGTGGATAACGCGATGACGTTTGAAGCGAAAGGTACTGAGTTTAAGTCCTAGAGTGAACATCAACAAATCTGAGATGCAGGTACATCCAGCTGACGAATCCTAAATAGGACGAAAAACGCGCGTCCTGCATTCCACTGTTAGCTAGACATACACAACATTGTATGTTTTCTTCAAATCTTACTACTTAAATAACACCATTCAATAATTCCTTTATTTATATTACTATTTTAGGTAATTAAAATACATATTGTCATTTTATTTGATGGTAATCAACGTTTACAATATTTGAATAGTTTACTTAAATCAATATTTTATTATCAAAATGATAGATTTCGTTATGATATAAAATCTTGTTGCTATGCAAATTTTTGTGATCGATTTATCACCAATGATCATGATAATGATAATCAAACTGTTATAAACCCCATGGCAACAACATATATAACTGTATTACATATCTTAGTAACTACCATTACATCAAACAGTAAATTGTTAAATTTAATGAATACATGGAAATTACGTAATATGGAATATTATTTTTACAGTTGTAATAATTACCTGGTATGTTTTAACATGTATTATAAATTTTTGGGGGTTAATTTTAGTAGTATATGTGCATCTTGTGAGGATTGCCTCGATATTGCCTGAAGTCACAAGCTTGATAAGGAAAGATGGATAGTGGTTAACAGTGGAATCCAAGACGGGTGTTCTGAATAACGCGATGGTGATTGAAGCGAAAGATATTTGGTTCGAGTCTTAGAGGGAATATCGCTTCTGAGATGCAGATATATCCAGCTGAAGAGTCCTTAAATAGGACGAAACGCACGTCATGGATTTCATTGCTCGTCACTATTCATCTTTGCTTATAAAGCTTGTGATTTTACAATTAGGCTAGTTGAATCTGTTTGAAATCAATGTCTCACAATTAATTGTGTTGCAACTATTATAAGGGTCAAGACTCTAACATAAATGAAGAACGCGATGGCGTTTGAAACGAACAATACTGAGTTTGAGTCTCAGAGTGGATATCAACTCTGAGATACAGGTACATCCATCCAGAGAGTCCTTAAATAGGACGAAACGTGCGTCATGGATTTCATTGCTCGTCACTATTCATCTTTGCTTATAAAGCTTGTGATTTTACAATTAGGTTAGTTGAAGCAGTTTGTAACCAAACAGCAATGAAATCATAGTGTTCAACTCTTGGCTCTTCATTGGTGAACATAACCTCTCAATGATATTCATACGAAACTACTCAATGTTGTTAAACTTCTACCATTAAGAATTTGCGAACTTAATGGACAAATTTGATGGAGTTTACAAATTTTTGTCTCATAACACGGTACTGAATGATCAAATGTCAAAAGAGACAAAACCGGAGATTTATGCGAAATCACATAGACTACGTATTTATCTCCACAGAAAGAGGGGAATGCGCTAAATAGTCCCGACTTGGAAACATTCTTATGAATTCACTTTGGCAAAATATGTGCTCCAAATTGAGTAGATTTAAGTAAATAATTTGAATGTGACACTGACTAGTTTCCAGTCGAGTGACTATTGGGATCCAAAGAGTATTGGATGGTTATTTCATCCTTGTGTGGGACTGCAGAGTAGTGTATTCCTATATCTTTGCCATAGACCCAGCCCAGAACCTTCAGATGTTCTGTCGGATGCTTAACTTTTCGACCGCATTCAAAAGAATTACTACGACCGTGACTTCACATCCTAACTTTTAGTTTCAACGGAAAAACTTTTTAATTAAGGTAACCTAATATTATTATTGGATAAGGTTTTATCCTAAGGTGACCACTTAATCCTGGTTTGACTGAAGTTAAATTGTACACGTTTAGACTTCCATCTAGTGGTTTAGAGGTTGAGCGTTCGCTTGCGAGATCCAAGATCTTGGATTGGATTTCAGATACGGCGTCGTGGATGCACACTGCTGAAGTCTCATGATTCGATGAAATAGCTATCCAGTGCTTCTAAGTTTTCATTGGTTTTCTAACTTACACCGGCTCGCAATTTCAATCTACTATTGGTTACTAACTTGAGTTTATGTCATGGTTTTTAGGCAGATATTTGGTGGATTCAATCTAAGCATCCTTCAGGCGTTAAACCATTTTTAAAATTGATGATTACAGAAATTCTTCCATTGACAATCAGTAAAGTAAGTTACAGTTTTATTTCTTTTCTAAGCAGGTTTCATCAAATTTTAATGTATGAATGGATAACAATATTTAAATCTTTGATTCCCAATGTTGTATTATCAAAATAAGTTTGTCAGAATTCAGTAAGCAATTGTTATCCTACTATTACACTGGTTCTCGTCTCCGTGTGGCAAATTCGACTTCAGGATTGGTAATGAGCGCTACAGTGACTGTCTCTATGAAGAAACCTAGGTCGTCAAAACCTAAGACTCCAGCCAGTCACCCACCAGTAATCGACATGATTACAGTGGCAATAGTCGATTTGAAGGGCTGCATTCCCTGAGGAAGTATGGAAGGTTAATACAGATAATAATGTAATGAGGAAAAGCATGATACTTAACTGTATAGTCGAAATAATAATAGGACAATACAGCAAAAGTTATCTTAAGAAGAATGCTTTCGAATACTGTATGAATGTGAACAAATGAGACTAACTAACAAGAATCGAAAAGTAGTACGTTCATGTCATCTTCCTTGATTTTCAATGTTCCCTATCTGAGATTAATCCATGATGTGAGTTACATACAAATTCAATTAATAATATCCACTTAATCCACTCATCTAAATGAGAAAGTAATAATGATTGACTAATGCCAAGCTTAATATGAATACATGATCTCTACTCGCGAGATTCGAACCAAGGACCCACCAGTCTCGCGCCACAACACTTAACCGTTAGACTACTGAGCCGACATCCAACGGTGTTATTGTCTAACCTCAACCAATTCACTACCATTGTACTGAGGTAGATACCTGTCTTTACCTGACATGGATTGGCTCCACTGGTCAAGACTTATCACTAGAACTCCAGGAATTACCTCATGGAGCCAGTCACTAGTGAGCATATGATCATTATCAAAAAGTGTTTCCGTGGAGATTATAGTAGTTTTATATAGTTGAGATCCTGCGAGGTGGGAACGTGGATGTTCACTGCTGAGGAGTCCTACAATAGGACGAAACGGCCGTCCAATGCTTTCAGGTTTTCCATGGTGGTCTAGCTTCAATTAACTCATAATCTCAACTATATAAAATTACTAAAACTTCGAAGAAACCTCATTCTGTTATTTATTGTTGATAGTTCTATAAAAGGAAATTGTCTTACAATTTTCAAAAATAAGCGTCGTTAAAAAAGATATCTAAAAGTCACTTTGTAAATCATTCAGGTGTATATAGTTGGTATTGTTATCATTTGTCTGTAATTTTCCTCACTATCTAATTATTTACATACTTTTTATTACTCCGCCTGTAGCTCCTCCAGGAGCTATTGCCAGTCCTAAGCCCGAGTAAAGGCGGAGGGTTGGGCGTGGGGTTAGCGACCCCATCATGTAGAAAACCGACTCGCCAAAAAAAGCTAACCAGAAAATGATTACGCAAAGTATGCACATATGCCAATAAAAGACTGATCAATTGCAGTCTTAAAAATCAATGGCCATCAAAACTCAGTAGCTGAGTGGATAACGCCGTGGTGTTTGAAGCGAAAAATACAGGGTTTGAGTCCCAGAGTGAATATCAACTCTGAGATACATGTACATCCAGCTGACAAGTCTTAGATAGGACGAAACGCGTGTCCTGAATTCTACTGCTAGCCACTGTTCATCTTTGCTTATTACGTAATGCTTTCAATGTTTTGTAATGACTATTCTAAGTCTATTTACACACGTTTTATAGCCTATTTCCAATGTTTAACTAATGATAAGACTTTTGGTTATCTTAATTTATTATTCTTACTACTATCAGTATACGTGTCTTCCAACTATCAACTTGTACTTTGACCTATTATGTATGGTAACATTATCTATTTAATTGTGATTATTGACTCAAATTGACATGATTGATTTAACATTTTTATATAAACACTCATGTATATTAGAGCAAAGTCTGATGACGATTATAGTTAGTAAAGTGTGTAACACTCAATATTAAAGTGTTAAATAATCAAATTGTTCAAGTTAAAACAATACATAGGACGGAACGCGCGTTCTGAATTCCACTGCCAGCCACTATTCATATACGCTTATAATGAACGACATTGTTTTCAGTTAGATCATTAGGATGAAACGCACGTCCTGGTATCCACTGTTAGCCACTATCCATCTTTGCTGATAAATGAACAACATTGTTTTCAGTTAGATCATTATCAGGCTTTAATTTAATAGTTGAAAGTATCAGTCCATTGAATCAAGACCACCAAGAAACACCTGGAAGCACTGGACTGCCGTTTTGTCCTATTGTGGGACTCTTCAGCAGTGAACATCCACAACCTAGCTTCAATTGAATAATACTTTCAAATATGCAAATACTAAATCTTCACAAAACCCCCTTCTGATTTAATTGAATACACATTATTATATATGTGTTAGGTTAGCGTTTTTTTTAGCGAGTTGGTTTTCTACAGGATGTGGTCGCTAACCTCATGCCCAACCCTTCTCCTTTACCCGGGCTTGGGACCTGCAGTAGCCCCTGGAGGAGCTACAGACGGAGTTATTATATATGTGTATATAAATGAAAATATTAAACCATCCAATACCGTTTATACGTAACTGATTACAATGAAATAGATTACATGACTACATATTATAGGTAAGAAGTATTAATTAATAGTAAGATGATAAGTATATCAGTAGTATTGATAAGAATCATAAAAGTTCTTATCAATAATTCAAATTATGAAGTAGATCAAAGTTGGATAAAATGGACTTTGGAATAATAACAAGTAAACCTTAAAGAGATTACGTAATAAGAAGTGTTTAACTAATGTAAATATTGAAACATACTAAATGGAGATTGGATAAAGTACAAACAGATACAGGGTATGAAGAAATCAATCAAATCATGTTATATGTCGTATCTAGCCAAGACAGGAATAGCGTTGTCATGTATTTTCTTTGCATACATAAAATATGAATTTAAGTTCGGATACTTATAGTTTCCGCAATATGTAGGAGATTGTATAGAACCTCACAATGGAAAGGAAAGAAATTGTACTATAGGAATTTACCGTATGCACACTGACAATTAGGTACGCCAAAATAAGTCTAGATATTGTCTTCTTCTAGCCTTTTCTAAACCAAACTATAAAATGTTCACTCATTTGTTCGTTAAGTTACCTAGTAGTACAACTGACACAGCAATATTCGCAAGCGTAATCATCTTAATCTCACCATTGTAACATCAAACTACTTCAGTTTTCACAGCTTAAATAATTAAAATAGTTGAAATCAGGAATCAATTGAAGCTAGACCACCATGGAAAATCTGGAAGCACCGGACGGCCGTTTCAGCCTATTGTGGAACTCCTCAGCTCCATCGGATGCCTGCGCAGTGTTCTATCGTTTGAGTACGATGGCGCGAGACTGGTAGATCCTGGGCTCGATTCTCCCGAGGAGGGATCGTGATTGCGCACTGATGAAGAGTCCCATAATAGAACGAAACGGCCGTCCAGTGCTTCTAGGTTTCCCATGGTAGTCTATCTTCAATTGACTCATGATTTCAACTATGAAAATACTGAAATCTCCACAAAATCCTTTCTGATAATAATTAAAATAGATTAACTTTACCCTCCACCCTTCCACCGCTTCCCTGTAAACACGTTGACTACAACTATTATTGCACTCATTTGAATATTGATTTGTAAATAGTTGTACTGGTTTCCTAGACAAAAACATACAACAAAAACTATATCGTAAGTTACAACAAAAAATGTTTTCATACTACATGTTAAAATTAACAAATCCATACAAAATCGATTAAGAAAATGTAGTAAAATAAGATTGCAAATAAAATAAAGATTCTGACGGGCAGATATTACTTAGTGTTTAAGTTCCATGAGATGACGAAACAGCCATTCAATGCCCTGAACTTCTGTGTTGATTGATTTGAACATTAACAATCTTCACAATCCTAAACTGATGATTCATTTTTTAGATTTGATCTTTGTCACAAACAGCTAATAATTTGTAAGTAATGTCAAACTGGATCATGAAGATGTCCACATCTGGAGTGAAGCACGGGATACATTGGACAGCTAGGATGCAGCTGGACGATTTAGACTTCGCAGATGATCTGGCTCTTCTATCACACACGCAACAACAAATAAAGGAGAAGACGACCAGTGTAGCAGTAGCCTCAGCAGCAGTAGGTCTCAATATAAACAAAGGGAAAAGCAAGACTCTACGATACAATATAACGTGCACCAATTGAATTACATTTGACGGAGAAGCTATGGAGTATGTGGAAACCTTTACATATCTGGGTCAGCATCATTGATGAACACGGTGGATTTGATGCAGACATGGGGGCGAGGATCGGCAAAACAAGAGCAGCATATCTACAACTGAAGAACATCTGGAACTCAAAACAACTGTCAACCAAAACCAAGATAAGAATTTTCAATACAATGTCAAGACAGTTCCGCTGTATGGAGCGGAAACCTGGAGAACTACGAAAACCATCATCCAGAAGGTACAAGTATTTAATAATAGTTGTCCACACAAGATACTTCGGATCCGTTGACCAGACACTATAAGCAACAAGCTACTGTGGGAGAGAATAAATAAGATTCCAGCGGAGGAGAAAATCAGGAAGAAGCGCTAGAAGTGGATAGGACACACATTGAAGCAATCACCCAACTGCGTCACAAGGCAAGCCCTCTCATGGAATCCTGAGAGCCAAAGGAACAGGACAAGACCAGAGAACACCATAGACCGAGAAATGGAGACAAACATGAGAAGAGTGAACAAAAATTGGATAGAACTAGAAAGGAAGGCCCAAGACAGAGTGGGTTAGAGAATGCTGATCGAGGGCCTATGTTCCATTGGGAGTAACAGGCATAAGTAAGTAAGTAATGTCAAACGTCGACCCTAGAGAATTTTACGCAACTTCTTGAATGTGAAAACCAGGTTGAATCTATTTTTGTGGACTTTATTGTATATACGTTTTCTACCTGTAGGTGTCCACAATTCACGACAAATGGCCTTCTCTATCCCATTAAGGAAATCATGTAAAATGATTGCCCTAGTGTCATAGTTCAGCCAGCTACAGTTACCACAGTTTTGAGTTTAGTATTATAAAGGAATAGAAACGTGTCAGATCATGACTTTTCCTCTACGAAGATCACTACGGTCCATTCGATTACTTCCAATTTCGCCATTCAGCAAAAACTAACTCAATGAACGTCACAGTATGTGCGTAAATGGAACTAATTTATTGTTTAAGTCATTGGAATCATTAATTTTCCTAACTATCCAATACTTTTGGAACAAACTTATGTTTAATTTCATTGATTTTACCTGGATTGACTCTGTGGCTGTCTTCTTCGGTCATAAGCCTGAAGAACTTGGTGGTTCACCTAAAGAGATTGAAACTCTTCACTTAAGTAAAGATCAGATTGTTAAAATTTGAGTTGGTAGAATACTTCTCCATGAGTAACATCATAAATCATATTAGTGTAGTAGTTTTCGACTCCAGGAATTTCAACATGTCAAACATATCTGTGACATTTTATGATGTCGCTGGTGTCGTCTTCACACCGAACGATAACCGCTGGTATGATATCTTTGTGAGTATCGGTAATCAAAAACTGTTTCAAATAGTCATTCTCTTCAACTTGAAGGCATGCATGTGTAAAACCTGTTTCAGCAAAATACGTTATATCATTAGGTTTCATGAAAATATCTTTAATCACTCGTAGCTGATGTGAATAATCTTTGAATAGAGTATTCAAGTAAGCCTAGAAGTCAACCTTTGGTTACAACCATCCACTGAATGTATTACACACGATTCCTTGGGCTGTCTATGGCAAATGTTTTCACATATTTGGGAATAACCAGTTCCTCAACACTCTCTTACTACTTATCTAATAACGATGGGTTGTATACACAGGGAACCGGTCTTTTGAGTTTCAAGTGAAGCCGAATACAGCAATCCACTCCTCAAATTGTACATCTAGTGAATTCACTAAATTCTAAACAATTATCAACGTAAGTGAGATTTCTCGAAAGGCTTTAGGAAACCGTGTTGAAAGTTGCGTAACGACAATTGTTCACCAATAATCTCTCCGCAGATAATATCTACTTATCGAAACTACTGTCTGCAGACATTTTGAGCAAAATAAATGGAATATTGTTGGTGTGTTCACACGCTTTCCTATTCCTTGTAACATTGTCGGAATCGGGCAGTTCAATTTTGAACATATTTTCCTTTCCACTATACGTAGCGACCAAATCGATTCCATTTCATTAAAATTAATTTCATCATCTCCTTATTTCAAAACTGATTCAACGTTATTTGAAGATTCACTCACATTATTCCTTTATGAGGGTAGACCGAAGAAGTTTATCACTAATGGATGATATCGCACCTACCATATTGTTAGATAATATCTCACTGAAGACAATGGTGGTTGGTTGCTCGGTTCCATGGATTGGTTGAAGTTAGACGGAAACATTGGATGCCATCTCATTGGTCTAGAGGTCAAGCGTTTGAGCGCCAAACTAATAGGTCCTGGGTTCGAATCTCAAGTGGCGAGAACGTAGATGAGCACTACTGGATAGTCATACAATAGGACGAAACAGACGTCCAGTGCTTCCAGGTTTTCCATGGTGGTTTGGCTTCAATTGACTCATGATTTCAACTATAAAATTACATAAAACTCAATCAGTTGGTTTGTCAAAATGAATAGTACACTTGACTGAATTGGTACAAACACTCTTTTAAATGTCTCCAGATTTCACATACGTTGATTTTACTACTCAGTGCATTGTGGAAACCTCCTAGACAATTCTAGAAAACGACTAGTCATGCCCCCCTACTCTTGATTGGACGATATGATGAACGGTTACCGGTTGTGGTATGTTTTCCTGAAGTGTTGTGATGGATTGACTACTACAGAAAGTGTAATACTCAGGATTATTTTAACGATTACTATTCTCATGTTTCTTCTATAATCAACTCTTTACTGCAATCAGGATTTTCCATTGTTTCACTTTTACTATCCATCATTCTTGTTAATTAATTACATTGCTTGCATGTAACCACAAATTATTTCATGATATCGACAAGTGGTCGAAGGGAACCGAGTTAACTGATTCTGGTTGGTATTCACCTGCACAAATATCTGGTGTTGTTGCTCTGTAGTGCAATTAATGAAAAGTGTTTCCATGTTCTGCTGATGTAATATCAAGTTGTCTCTGTCAGTGTTACTGGTGCTACTGGAGTATGAGATAACGAGATGGTGCAGCAGAACGCAACTCGATTTGATATAGTGCAATGAAATGCAATGCGATGTTTAAGTTAGCCTCATGTCATTATTAATCGTATCTGTTCGAATGCGTGATTGATAATGAATAATAACACTTAGCTACAAACGGAAAAGGATACACAATAAGGAGAAATTATTATCGAAATTCTGATTGATAAATCTAAAAAATTGTATTGATTCACGATACAGTCGTAACATAAAACGTTTTTAAACATCAACTTTACTTAACGTTATAACTAATCTCAAATGTTGAATTAAAAATCTTTGTGTTCTGAGTTTGACTTTTCTTCCCCGTCTCCCACATTATCCGCACGTTCCATGTACCTATAATAATTATCGCTCTGATTGTTAGAAAGGATATCATTCTCGTGACTTCCGAAACATCTCGGCTTTTATCCTGTGGTGTCATAATTATTCCTTCAACTCTCAGGGCAGAGGTTAAATGGTTTAAATTACATTTTCTGGTTAGCGTTTTTTTAGCGAGTACGTTTTCTACTGGATGGGGTCGCCAACCCCGTGCCAAAACCTTCTCTTCTGTGTGGGCTTGGAGCCGGCAGTAACTCTAGAAGAGCTACAGGCGGACTGGCAAAGCAAGGATAGCATTCCTATAATTGAAAAACATGTGGAATTCAAAACAACTGTCAACTAATTTCAAAGTGAGAATTTTCAATACGAACGTCAAGACAGTCCTATTGTACGGAGCTGAAATGTGAAGAACTACTACATTCATCGTCAATAAGGTAAAAGTATTTATAAACAGTTGTCTTCGCAAAATACTCAACATTTACTGCCCGCATACCATCAGCAACAGCGTTTTATGAGAGAGGACAAATTAGCTTCCAGCTGAAGAGAAAATTAGGAAAGATGTTGGAAGTGGATAGGGCAAACATTAAGGAAATCATCAAACTGCATCACGAGGCAATCGCTAACTTGGAATCCGGAAGGGAAGCGGAAAAGAAAAAGGCCAAAGAACGCTGGGAAATAGAAGCATATATGAAAAGGATGAATGTTAACTGGAAAGGATTTGTAGTATCGTTTGATACGTCAAACCCATATAACTTATTCTTACTTCTGGACAAGTCAATTCACATATCCATTGTGAATCATGTTTTCCATTTGTTATTTATTTACTTATTAACTCTGATCATTTTTGTATCAGAGTAGTTGTGTGTACACTTCTTATCCTATTTATCACATATATGTCATTTATTCTTGTCTGACTATAAATATTGATTAACGTTTGATAAAAGTGAGTTGGCTTACCCGCCATCTCTAATACATGTCATTTTTGTTTCGTTCGCTGATATTCACTCATATGCTTATAACTTTTTGGCCGGCGTCATTTGTCAATGAAACTGTAGTTGCCGCTTCTCTTTACCTTCTGATTTTATACACCGTTAAGATTTGTATTATGATGGTTATCAGGTTGAACGATTAGCGAAGCACGGCCCCATAAATTTCCCAGGACAATGTCAGGTGGAGAATGGTGATGGGTGGCCTATACTCCTCCACGAGGGGTAACAGGCGTATGTAACTAAGTAAGTAAGTGAGCTGATTATATTAAAACAATAAAAACGTTCAGTATATTCTTATTAGGTAACTTATCTATACTCATGTAAACTTCCTTCTTTTCTTCTTTTCTGTTTTAGGTTATTGTCCTAGATATTGACATACTACTTAATACAGATATTATTGAATTATGGAAATATTTTGATTATTTTACAGGAACTCAGGTTTGTTTATTATTCATTATTGATTATAAAAGTGCTGGTATTCGAAATTGATCAACCTAATGAATTCTAAAGTGCAGTTGTTTTTGTGTGTGTGTGTTTTTTCCAAATGTTTAAGCTGAATTGAAATGGTAAAAAAAACAAGAAGACAACGGGAAGGAGCGGGAGAAGACAATTGAATGTATTGTGAGCATAAAATTACAAAATATCTTAGTAAAATATGAGAACTATATTACTTATTTAGTTACGCTTGTTACCCCTCGTGAAGGAACATAGGCCGCACAACAGTATTCGCTATTCAACCCTATCCTTAGCAATCCTTTACAGTTATTTACAGTTAACATTCATCCTTTTCATATATGCTTTTTTCTTGCGTAATGTGTTCTTTGGTCTTCCTTTTTTCCACTTTCATTCCAGATATCAAGTTAAGGCTTGGCTAGTGATGCAGTTTGATGATTTCCTCAATCTATGTTCTATCCACTTCCAACATCTTTTCCGAATGTCCTCTTCAGCTGGAAGCTGATTTTTTTTTCTCCCATAAAACGCTGTTGCTGATAGTATGCGGGCAGTAAATGTTGAGTATTTTGCATAGATAACTGTTTATAAATACTTGTACCTTCTTGACGATGGATGTAGTAATTCTCCACATTTCAACTCCGTACGGTAGGACTGTGTTGACGTTCGTATTGAAGATTCTCACTTTGAAGTTACTTGAGAGTTTTTTGAGTTCTTCAATTGTAGGAATACTGTACTTGTTTTTCGAATCCTCGCTTTTACATCTGCATCAGATCCTCTTTGTTTATCAATGATACTTCCTAGGTACGTAAATGTTTCCACCTTTTCCAGAGTTTCTCCATCAAGTGTAATTGGGTTGATCTTTTGATGGTTGGTGTATTTGAGAATCTTGCTGTTTTTGTGTATGTTGAGGCCTTTTGATGTAGACGCTGTGTCTACATTTACTGTCTTTGTCTGTATTTGTTAACATGCAAACTATTAATCAATTGTCCCAATCTTGACCATACCTTCCACAAACATCAGTTCATCGTCTCCGATTATTACTGTTCATGTATTTTCATACCGATTGCGTTTCGTTTCCGTTCTTTCGTCATCGATCTTCTTCAATGTCCGATCACCATTATATACTACTTATGTGGATATAAGTAACCCACACCATAAAACTACATGTTATTTAGCTTACTTCATACATAGAAAGAAATATTTGACTGAGTGTTGAGGACATAGTTCCTATTAGACCATAAAGTCATGATAATCCACGTACTATGATTATTGTTACTAACATTAGCTTTATTCAATATTATAATTTTCGTAGAATATAGAATTCTCAGCACTAAGCAATTCAACATGTTCCCGTTTCTTACTTCTTGATCGATCCTCATGACAAATATTGAGTAATCATCAGTTAGATGTTTGCAGTTCAGTCAATCGACGTCTAAATAATGTACACTATTTTCTATGAATATTGCCAGCAACCACGATATCACTGATTGAGTTTTTGTAACTCCTACAACGAAGGGTTGTACGCATTTGTGAAACACACCTGAATAGGTTGTGCAATTAATAGCCATAATTATGTATTAACAGAAATAAAATTAGATAAGTTATTGAAATATCTAGATGGCAGAAACAGGTGGAACAGATGTTCAAGCAGGCCATCAGTTTATTATGATCATGACCAAAAAGGTTTTTGAAGTAGTTTTAGTCATAGACTGATATCATCGTAATCACAATTGATTGATCACTGAGTGGTGATCAATGTCATGCAAGTCAAGTCCTTCTTAGTGTTGATCGAATGCTATCGATCAAGTTGAAATGTGGCCAGTAGTCTAGGTGGCTCGATACTTCGTGCACTATGTTGATATAAGATGGTGGTTTGAGGTGGTAAACAGGAAACCGGGTTTCGTGCTATTTGGCACTCGTCAGCAAGGTGTACCTGCAATCTTGAGGGAACTGGAGCTCCCTGACGGATTCGATTCCGTATCACTCAGCTTCACAGTCAGAGACGTTATCGCTGAGCTATTCCGGCCCGCGACCGACATCATCACCGATATCATCAAAATATCACCCAGGAGCTCAAGTTCTTGTAGAATTATTCATCATCATGTCTGAAATATTAAAATTACTGTACGATTTTAATTTAAACAATCATGGCTATTTTAGATTATATACTACCATACACTACTTATTAATAGCCTACTACTTTAAATCAAATACTTAAGTGTGATGGATTTGTGATTTCAATAAATTTTTGGTTTGTCTAGTGATTGAAAATACGAAAAACAAACCAATACACATCATGGATTGGTTGAAGTTAGACATTAACACCATCGGATGCCGGCTCAGTGATCTGTCGGTTAAATGCTCTGGCGTGAGACTGGTAGGTCCTGGGTTTGAATCTCGCTCGCGAGGTGGGATCGCGGATGCGCACTGCCACTGAAGAGTCCCATAATAGTACGAAACGGCCGTCCAGTGCTTCTAGGTTTTCCATGGTTGTTTAGCTTGAATTGTCTCATGATTTCAACTATGAAAATACACTATTTGCTCATCAAGATTCTTAAGATATGCGAACTTAAGTTATAAACGGATCAATAAAATCTGAGTAAACACATGATTATACATCATTAAAACACAATGTCACCTTGAGTTCCTATTCACTGTTAGGTTTATTCAAAACAAAATACACATATTTTGCAATTACCAAGATTTCCTGACTATAACTACATCTATGTGGACTGGTTTGAAATTATCAATTGTTAAGGATGTACACACTACATCAATCCTATTGTAGAATGTTATTTTAGTAATGAAGAGAAGAAGTTATAGCCAAATCAACGGGTGTTGAAGGATGAAACTCATTCGTCATGTTGAAACTGGGATATCTATTACCTATTAAGTTGAAAGCTGAATGTGTCAGGCAACAAAGTGACTAATATAGTCAGAAACATCAGTGACGAATAAACTCCAGCTCAGTCGTCTGAAATAAATCTCTGAAACCCTTATTTAAATTTGATATTTAGTCACTGGTTAGTATTCCTGACATAATGCTGGTCAGTGTTCTACGTTCTTCATTAATTTCACCGTTGATTTCAATTTGGGATTAAAATCCCAACTACACCTAGACAATCTTCAATATTTATAACAGTTTATAACATATGTGTTAATCATTTATGAATACTATATTCGGTTACAAACTCTCAGTTGAGATGGCTAGGACACGTGTTACGTTTGTCCAACCACCGACTGCCCCAACGTGCAATGTTTCATGGTGTAGGCGTAGGTTGGAAGAAAGCTAGGGGCGGTCAGGCCAAAACGTGGCACAAATTTATGAAGTCACTGACAAGTGGACAGTGCCATATTGGTAGGTGTAGACTATCTGGTTGACATTCGCAAGATGATAGCAATCAATGATTAGAGACTTTGAATGACATGGCTCAAAATCGTTTACAATGGCGAAGGTGCATCCACTCTTTGTGTTTTCTCAAATTCTAATTTTCTGAATTCTTCATGTCTCTATCCTTTTTCTCATTCCAAATTTATTTTATTGGATTATACTCCTTGGATAACATCTTCAAACCCTAATCTTTCCGACTAGTGTTTATACTCGTACTACTTCTACCATCATGGGATTAGAATCGACAACTGCATCTCTGATGTACGTACGTACAAAGTTCTACGTTATGACTGCCTGACTGACTACAAACTCTCAAAACCTCTTCATAGTTGTAAGCAAAACGTTAGAACCCTATCCCTTCATTTGTAGACCTGAAGAAATCATATATCAATCGTATTTAGAAATTCGTTTATCGGAACGTTTTCTGTGAAAACAAACTTCAAAGTGATTTTTTTATTATTTGAAGACACATGTAAACGAATTCACGTTAAGTATGAAGTCAACTAACCAAGATCATTTAGCATGTGATAAGCCTATGCATATGTTTAGAATTTCCTTTACTCGTCACAAGTATTCTATGCCTGTTGTACGTTCCATTTTCATAACTTCCTTTATTGCAAATAGAAAATATAGATTTTATTGCGCATTCTTGGATCTGTCGCAGACATCATGAATGCTAACTGGTAACAAGTCCTGTATCTACACATTGTACTAAGTTGCACAAATTAGGAACGCATATCTCAGGCATTTACATTAGTGATTCGATTGAAATAGATCATTGGTAATTTCATTAACTGTAACACTGTGTAATCTAAGTTTCAATCTCACTCAGTTAGTCAGTTTCATGAAAGTTGAAAATCTACCAATTCTGAGATCTTAGATTTTTCAAACTACAATACACATCATGATTATCCTCAGAACTATCAGTCTGAAATTAGAAATTAACACCGTTGAATGCCGGCTCAGTGGTCTGTCGGTTAAGTGCTCTGGCGTGAGACTGGTAGGTCCTGGATTTGAATCTCGCTCGCTAGGCGGGATCGTGTGTGCGCATTGCCACTGAAGAGTCCCATAATAAGACGAAACGGTCGTCCAGTGCTTTCAGGTTTTCGGTGGTGGTCTAGCTTCAATTGACTTATGATTTCAACTATGAAACTAACAGTCTATTAATATCAAATTTTTGTGTATCAAGTTAACAATTGTTATTAAAAGGATCTTTTCTGATGATCGTTTCATATTTACACTTCTGATAGCTTACAAATCTTTATGTGTATTTTTTTTCAAAGAGCATAGGTATTGGATTGGAACAAAATCCACATTTTCAAGAAGTTATGACTAAGTTAAATAGTAATTGGAAAGTACGTTGAAAAACATTTTAATACTTCATTACATTGACAACGATTTACACATTTGTATATTAATATCATTTATGGACAAAGAATGAACGATGATGAATTGACCTAGAGACAACATATCTACTTACAAGTGTTAAAATAAGGTTATAGATTAGCCCCCCCTGGAGAGTCCACTCTTCCTCTCGAAATGCTCTCACATCGCCACGCGTATATAGCATCTACCACACAATTCCTACTCACTGCCTTCTGGTGGTGGGGGTATTGTTCACGAAAATGAGAGGACGAAAAGTAAATGTCCGGCGCTTTAAACAGGTTGGTGAATGTGGAGTGTCCACCTAGGGGAGTTGGAAAACCCTGATAACAAGCCAATGGTGCACATGGACTCCAGTATCCTAAGGGAACAAATGGCGTATGAATCAATCGTAGGTCACCGGCAACTATGGGACTGCATCTCCTCACGATGCTTCACTGCATTGTGGATCAGACCTTTAGGTCAAAAGCCCCGGATGTGCCCCCTAAGAAAACCACGTGCTTCAGTTTGTGTACCCGTGCCCTCACACAAATCGAATGAGATCGGTACGGTATATTTGTCTGTTGCTTCCTTGTAGCAATATTTATGTGTTTAAATAAATAATAAATAAATAGTAACTAAGGTAACCACGATCTGGCATCAGTTATAATTTCAAAACGATATTCAACTTTATGGATGAATGAATTTCGTACGAAAACCCATGACATGCTATCGCCAATGTTATCGATTCGTCCATAGATTATATTCTCGTACAAACTTCTTTTCATCAGTCAATAATAATTTAAAGCTGAATACTTCTCCCTTATTTATACCAGACTGCAGTTATGGATGTAGATGATTTACTTCAGAACTTATGAATATCTTGTTTGTTTTGTAGTTACGTTTTAAATTGTGTCCATCAAGTTGAAATGTACTTACTAGCCAAATAAACCTTAATTGATAGAAAATCTTGGAAGCAAGTGATGTGTTGTTTAGTGCCTATAAAGTGAAAGGTATATGTAGAAACTTGAGGGATTGTAATGATCTCCGTGTGATACGCACTCAACTCCTAGTTAAGATCATTAAGGTAATGGGGTAATACATAATTAAAGGTTCTAAGTAACTCTTATACTGATTGCAGTTAGGCTAATGCCATAGCTGAATACCCAACCCAATCAACTTTATTTCATCTGTGCAACGTATAATAGATCATATGTATAATTTATATTTTAGGGTTATGGATATAATAATGGTGTTCTGTTATTTCATCTTTCTAAATTACGATCAACCAAATGGGATTATCTATGGTTGAATATAACTAAAAAAGCTATTGAAAAACAAGGTTACTTAATCACTGGTGAACAGGTAAATCTAAACTTCTCTACACATTGATTATAACTAATTTTATTGATTTTGAATGCTTATTTGAAAAAATAAATTTGCAAATTTCTACCGAACACGTATTTCTAAGGTACGTGTTTTTTGATTATTTTACTTACTTACGCCTGTTACCCCTCTTTGAGAAGCCGAGTACTGCCAAGTTGTATCTCCTCATTTCCATTGATATTTGACTGGTCTTCCCTGTCTCCCACATTGTCCGGACGTTTCATGTACCTATAAAGAGTGTTGCTTTGGTTGTTAGAAGGTGCATCGATCTAGTGACTTCCGAAAAATTTCGGCTTTCATCATGAGGCGTCATAATTATTCCTTCAACACCTAGGGCAGAGTTTAAATGGTTGGAATTATTTGTTCTGGTTAGCGTTTTTTTAGCGGATAAGCTTTTCTACAGGATGGGGTAGCTAATCCCATGCCAAACCCTCCTCCTTTACCCGGGCTTGGGACCGGCAGTAACTGTAGAAGAACTACAGGCGGAGTTAAAGTACGTCCAATCATTATTTATCTGGCAAACGAGACGAAATTGATTATGGTCATCAGTCTGGAATGATATTAGGAATGGCAGGCCTTAAAAAATTACACTAATAAAACAATAACTTGGTGTTTTAGCAACGTTTCCGATACATAGAAGTTTTGACTTAGCAAAGGAAATATTTGGATCTGGACTCTCAACAACTGTAATTTAAATAGATGTATAAACTACACTGGTCAGAGATCTATAAACTATACAGTATACATTAAAAAAACTGTATCACAGCTCATAAATTATCGCTTGCATCAATGCATGTGAACAGTTGTGGACACACATTTACCATTGTTATAACTTAATGCCGAGTAGATGCCTTGTTAACGTATGACGTGATAAGACCGCCAATTAAAGAGCAACGAATTATCAATCAGACCAGTGGTACACGGAAACCGTACAAGCAGTCTACAGTACTTATTGTTCCTGCTTTCTGCCTATCCTAGCCATTTAAGTCCAGAACAGACTCTGTGGTATGAATTATTATATTTCAAACATATTGAGTTTATATACCAATCAAACTGACCACATTGTACCAATAAAATAGAAAATAACATATGTACAAGATTTAGCCAAATGTGGCTGTGAATAGGGGAAACAGTAATTAATAGACCAGGGATGACTCAAGAATGGTAAACCGTATAACAATAGTCTGTGGGTCAAAACAAAGCTTATGATAAGGCGGACACGAATATGAATGGTATAGTTATATAGCGATTAGACAATCGAAGCTATTACAGACTCTCTTTGTAAAAATCTGATAAATATACAGTAAATGATTTCATTTGTAAAATGTCAATCAATCTTCTCATAATTGATTGTTTTGTCACTCTCTGTTCTTATTCTCTTCTACCTCTAAGCATTTCAATTCCCATTGACAATACATACTACTTATATCTGTTGATATCAGTAGCACATACAGTATAATATAATACTTCGTGGATTGGTTGAAGTTAGATATTAACACCATTGGATGCCGACAGGCTCAGTGGTCAATCGGTTAATTTATCCGGCGCGAGACTGGTAGGTCCAGGGTTCGAATCTCGCTCGCGAGTGCGAGATCGTGGATTCGCACTGCTGAGGAGTCCAATAATATGACGAAACGGTAGTCCAGTGCTTTCAGGTTTTCCATGGTGATCTAGCTTCAATTGACTCATGATCTCATCTATAAAAATTTTAATACCTATTTGTTTTCTTATCAATTTTAGGACATTCTAAATCTGGTATTATTTGAATTTAAACATCTTTTATATGAGATACCATGTGAATGGAATATTCAATTAAGTCAAGGAAGTGATCCACATCGATGTCCTGTAAGTTGGTTAACTTATACAGAATTAAAAAGACGTAATTATACAACAAGATATAAACAACCAAAACTTATACATATTAATCATCTTATCAAACCAAATGATTTAAAAGGGAATTATACACCAATGAATTACAATGATACATTAGATATCATTCTTAAACGTAAGTTATTATGTATTTATTTATTTTATTTAAACACATAAATATTGGTAAAAGGAAGCACCAGATATATAAGTGCCGCACAAATCTCATTTGATTTGTGTGAGGGTTGTAATACTGCCAAGGTGCCCAAACCGAAGCAGGTGGTTTTCATAGGGGGCCACACCCGGAGCCTTCGACCTAAAGGTCTGATTCACAAGGTAGTGAAGCATCGTGAGGAGATGCAGTCCCACGGTTTCCAGTGAATTATACGCCATTCGTTCATTCAGGATACTGGAGCCAGCCGATTTGCACCATTCGTATGGAATCAGGGTTTTCCAACTGCCTTAGGTGGACTTTCCGTGTCCACCAATCCGGTTAGGGCGCCGGATATTGGCTTTTCGTCCCTTCAATTTCGTAAACAACAGTAGTGCCACGAGAAGGCAGTGAGTAGGACTTCTCTGGTAGAGGCTATATACGCGTGGTCGTGAGAGAGCAATTGGAGAGGGAGAGCGGACTCTCTCCACCATACCAGGGCATTTAGGGGCAGTGTGAGATTATTAATATACGATTCTCATGTTGAAATAACTATTCATCTTGTGCCGCCAGTGACATGAGACGTACAATGAAACAGGTGATCGGAAGTATAATGTCTGAACTTTACAACATACCTTCTGTTAAAAGTGACGTTTACAAGTAAAATTGATTAGTCTCCTAATGACATATTGTGGTGGTCGATATTCGATATTATCCCTAAACTTCGTGTATTGTTCGTCCTGATAACCGTTACTCCATAACGTCCTAACGGTGTATAAATCAGAAGGCGAATACGAAGGGTTGATTACGTTATTTATTGGACCACATACAGATATCCAAAATTACAGGCACGTTAAGCAAGCATGAAATAGTGCCGTAAAGCAGGCGAGTGAGCAAGAGATCAACTGATCGAGTCAGCGAGTACAGTACAGCGCAGTGCACAGGATTAAGATGTACATATATATACAATTGGAAAAGCATGAATTATCGAATCAATTAAGCGATTAATAGTAAGGCTAGCAGACTGAATACATGCGTAGGCAGTAAGCGATAATCAAGCGTACATAATAAAGGTACAATAGTATAGATAGGTTGTTTTTGTACGAATGACTGTCCGTTAAATAAGTTAACAAAAAGGCTTGGCCAAGTTAGATGTAAACAAACTCAATTGTATGTGAGCTGTTTTAACATATGAATTCTGTAAGGATTGACTTTATATTGCGTTAAGTCACAAGCATTAAAAAAGCAGAGATGGATATTGGCTAACAGTAGAATCCAGGAGATGTGTTTCGTAGAATTTGGGACTCGTCAGTTGGATGTACCTGCATCTCAGAGTTGATGTTCATTCCTTTATTCGAACTCAGTACCTTTCGCTTCAAACGCCATCGCGTTATCCACTCGGCCACTGAGTTCTGATAGCCACTTGCTTGTGCGATGATGTGAAGTTCATATGTCAATCAGAGACTGACCAGTTGCAGTCCTAACACACCGATGGGAAGATTCAAAAAAACAATAATAAATGAATTTGAACTTCACAAGCAAGTGGCTATCAGGACTCAGTGGCCGAGTGGATAACGCGATGACTTTGGAAGCAAAAGGTACTGGGTTCGAGTCCCAGAGTGAACATCAACTCTGAGATGCAGGTACATCCAGCTGACGAGTCCAAAATAGGACGAAACGCGCGTGAAACTGGATTCCACTGCTAGCCACTATCCATCGATCGAGTAAAATGTATTCATCACATTACCAAGAGATATAATTAGAACGATTAAGTAATAGAGAATTCTGTATACGTTCGAATCTAATCATTGATGTTATGACCAAAAGCGGCTTTCTCTCATAAGTCTCAAATAGAACTGTTTGTTCGATACTCATGATTTACTCGTCTAAATGAACTTTGCGTATAATTTCAAACAATGGAGCATAATATTGTGAAGCATTATTTTCACCTACCATACTACCATTGACTATAATTATGTAACTTTCAGGAGTTTTTTTGTGAAGATTTAGTATTTTCATAGTTGAAAGCGTGAGTCAATTGAAGCTAGACCACCAACTCACTGAAGACAATTGGTGAAATGGTTGCTCAACTTCGTGGATTCGTTGAAGTTAGACATTTACACCATGGATGCCTTCTCAGTGGTCTATCGGTTAAGTGCTCTGGCACGAGAATGATAGGTCCTGGATTCGAATCTCGCGAGCCGAGGTCGTGGATGCTCGCTGCTGAGGAGTCCCACAATAGGATAAAACGGCCATCCAGTGCTTCCAGGTTTTCTATGGTGGTCTAGCTTCAATTGACTCATGCTTTCAATTATGTCATTGTGTTTATTCTCTACTAAATCGTAATTTTGTTTTGTAGAGAAAGAACTATATAACAAATTTGTGTCTGTATACCGACAGTATACAAGATTACATGAATCATGTTTTCAATAGATTCAATTCAAGAAGTTAATTACTTTGATGTTGATGTTTTCAATCATATAACTGATTTATTTACTATTGTTTGTTCGAAATCATTAGAGTTGATTTCTTTCTATTTTTGTATCTATATCAATACCCTTTCAATAAATCCGATTGCTGAAAACAAAGTATATTCTAAAACTATATGTATTGAATGTGTATATGCTGAGTTGATTAAGTAGAATTGTTGAATAGGTTGACTATGGACTGTGGCCAGAATAAATGAAGACATAAAGCAGTATGTGGATATGCGACTCTTATGTTGAGTATTTTGTGATATAATAATAATAAGTAGAAATGTGCCCAGGACAGAGTTGGATGGAGAATGCTGGTGAGCAGCCTATGCTCCTCAATGAGGGGTAACAAACATAAGCACAGTAAGTAAAAGTAGAAATGACGTTCATACATGGAATATTCGTCGTGCATATTGTAGACATGCGGTTCCCACCTGTCAGACATACCTCTTTCTTAATTCAACTTAGTATATATTGCTTTGTCATTGTATATAAAGCTTTACTGTAATGTTTTATTATTTAAACACATAAATATTGGTACAAGGAAGCACCAGATACATGTGCGAAACACAAATCAAATGAGATTTGTGTGAGGGCTGTGATACTGCACAGGTACCCAAACTGAAGTACGTGGTTTTCTTAGGGGGCCACACCGAGAGCCTTTGACCTAAAGATCTGATCCACAAGGCCGTGGAGCATCGTAAGGAGATGCAGTCCCATGGTAGCCGGTGACCAACGATTGATTCATACGCCATTTGTTCCTTGAGTGTACTAGAGCCCATGTACACCATTGGTTTGGAATCAGGGTTTTCCAACTCCCCTAGGTGGACACTCCACATCCACCAACCTGTTTAAAGCGCCGGACATTCGCTTTTCGTCCTCTCACTTTCGTAAACAACACCCCCGCCACGAGAAGGCAGTGAGTAGTATTTCCCTGACAGAGGCTATATACAGGTGGTCATGTGAAGGCATTTCGAGAGAAAGAACGGACTCACACCACTCTCGGCCGTACTAAGGCATTTATTTTTTTAAAGAATAAATAAAATTCTATAGGTTGTAGCTGAAAACACATTTTGAATGATTGTTGAAATTCTTTCCAAATGTGTATTAAAAGCATTTGAGCAAGCAAAATTAGACAATAGCTTAAGACTTTAATGTATTGATCAATATTATTTCACCATCCAGACCAAACGTGATATGCTTAAATGTCAAAACGAGTAAACCGCATTGTTCAATATAAATTTATACACACACACACACACACGAATACCTGTATCTGTCTATCTATACCAATATACCATAATGATTGCATTCACCATATCAAACAATAAAAAATCTAATAGTATTACACGTACTACTAAATACCACAATCACAAGTAACAATAAAAATACAATAATAATACTAGTTGAAAGAATTTACTCTTATATAAGGTATAACTTTAGGATAGGTGTATAAACACAATAAGCATCCATATAAACAGTGATAGTTGTTATGTTCCGGATAAGAATAATGAATGGTAACTTTGGGATCTATTTATAGACCAATACTGTGCATATATTTTTTGTCGTATAATCATTGATAAATTAAACTATTTGTATTCATGTTCCTCTTATTATGAGCTTTATTTTAAACTATAAACTATTGTTATACGATTTACCGATCTTGAGTTATACCCAGTCTATTAATTACTGCCTCCAATACACACAGACACATTTGGCTGGATCTTATACATATGTTATTTTCTATTTTATTGGTACAATGTGGTCAGTTTGATTGGTATATAAACCCAGTATGTTTGAAATATAATGATTCATACCAGAGAGGCTGTTCTGGATTTAAGTGGTTAGGATAGGCAGAAAGCAGGATCAATAAGCACTGTAGACTGTTTGTACGGTTTCCGTGTACCACTGGTCCGATCGATAATTCGTTGCTCTTTAATTGGCGATCTTAAAACGTAATAAGTTAACAAGGCATCTACTCGGCAACAAGTCATAACAATGGTAAATTCTTTTGCTTGAATGTAAGTTTCTGTATTAATCATAGACGTATTAAAAATCGTATTATTTCAATGAAGAAAAACCAAAGTATGAAAAATTTATCACTGTCAAAACAGTCATTTCATTTTGCGTATACAAATGCCTACCTCATATTACTCACCAACAGTAATGCATGCACATCACAATTCACCAACACGTCAACAATAGTCTATTCAGCTAACACAACGGATTTCCATTCATTTATTCCACTAAACACCAAACTACTGTCGAGCATTTCAGTAGCACAATTAAGTTAACTAAATATCGTCGATTTGTGTTGAATTGCATTGCGTTGCATGGTATGGAATTTCATTGCGTTCCATTGCATCATATCCAGTTGGGTTGCGTTCTGCTGCACCAGCTCTTTGTCTCATCCTCAAGTCGCACCAGTAACAGCAACAGTGATTAATGCAACTAAACCTGCATCTTGATTTACATACACATCTAAAACCACACACGCTACTTCTACATATGTCTTTGAAGAGTGGGCATCGGATGCACTGTACAATCTTTTGCAGCATACTGCTGACCAAGTGCTTTTCTTGACAACCCTAGCAAACCTCACTACAACACAAATCACATTCAACCTCATCACCAATTTGCACATCTTATCGCAATCTTCTTCTTAGATCATCAAATCCACTACACACTTCTACTCATCGACTACACTACGGTCTACAGACGTCAATCAAATTACTCACCAACAGTAGTGCATGTGCAACACAATCCACCAACACATCAACAATAGTCTATTCAGCTTACACAACGGATTTCCATTCATTTATTCCACTAAACACCAAACTACTGTCGAGCATCTCAGTAGCACAATTAAGTTAACTAAATATCGTCGATTTGTGTTGAATTGCATTGCGTTGCATGGTATGGAATTTCATTGCGTTCCATTGCATCACATCCAGTTGGGTTGCGTTCGGCTGCACCAGCTCTTTGTCTCATCCTCAAGTCGCACCAGTAACAGCAACAGTGATTAATGCAACTAAACCTGCATCTTGATTTACATACACATCTAAAACCACACACGCTACTTCTACATATGTCTTTGAAGAGTGGGCATCGGATGCACTGTACAATCTTTTGCAGCATACTGCTGACCAAGTGCTTTACTTGACAACCCTAGCAAACCTCACTACAACACAAATCACATTCAACCTCATCACCAATTTGCACATCTTATCGCAATCTTCTTCTTAGATCATCAAATCCACTACACACTTCTACTCATCGACTACACTACGGTCTACAGTCGTCAATCAAATTACTCACCAACAGTAGTGCATGTGCACCACAATCCACCAACACATCAACAATAGTCTATTCAGCTTACACAACGGATTTCCATTCATTTATTCCACTAAACACCAAACTACTGTCGAGCATTTCAGTAGCACAATTAAGTTAACTAAATATCGTCGATTTGTGTTGAATTGCATTGCGTTGCATGGTATGGAATTTCATTGCGTTCCATTGCATCATATCCAGTTGGGTTGCGTTCTGCTGCACCAGCTCTTTGTCTCATCCTCAAGTCGCACCAGTAACAGCAACAGTGATTAATGCAACTAAACCTGCATCTTGATTTACATACACATCTAAAACCACACACGCTACTTCTACATATGTCTTTGAAGAGTGGGCATCGGATGCACTGTACAATCTTTTGCAGCATACTGCTGACCAAGTGCTTTTCTTGACAACCCTAGCAAACCTCACTACAACACAAATCACATTCAACCTCATCACCAATTTGCACATCTTATCGCAATCTTCTTCTTAGATCATCAAATCCACTACACACTTCTACTCATCGACTACACTACGGTCTACAGACGTCAATCAAATTACTCACCAACAGTAGTGCATGTGCAACACAATCCACCAACACATCAACAATAGTCTATTCAGCTTACACAACGGATTTCCATTCATTTATTCCACTAAACACCAAACTACTGTCGAGCATCTCAGTAGCACAATTAAGTTAACTAAATATCGTCGATTTGTGTTGAATTGCATTGCGTTGCATGGTATGGAATTTCATTGCGTTCCATTGCATCACATCCAGTTGGGTTGCGTTCGGCTGCACCAGCTCTTTGTCTCATCCTCAAGTCGCACCAGTAACAGCAACAGTGATTAATGCAACTAAACCTGCATCTTGATTTACATACACATCTAAAACCACACACGCTACTTCTACATATGTCTTTGAAGAGTGGGCATCGGATGCACTGTACAATCTTTTGCAGCATACTGCTGACCAAGTGCTTTACTTGACAACCCTAGCAAACCTCACTACAACACAAATCACATTCAACCTCATCACCAATTTGCACATCTTATCGCAATCTTCTTCTTAGATCATCAAATCCACTACACACTTCTACTCATCGACTACACTACGGTCTACAGTCGTCAATCAAATTACTCACCAACAGTAGTGCATGTGCACCACAATCCACCAACACATCAACAATAGTCTATTCAGCTTACACAACGGATTTCCATTCATTTATTCCACTAAACACCAAACTACTGTCGAGCATCTCAGTAGCACAATTAAGTTAACTAAATATCGTCGATTTGTGTTGAATTGCATTGCGTTGCATGGTATGGAATTTCATTGCGTTCCATTGCATCACATCCAGTTGGGTTGCGTTCGGCTGCACCAGCTCTTTGTCTCATCCTCAAGTCGCACCAGTAACAGCAACAGTGATTAATGCAACTAAACCTGCATCTTGATTTACATACACATCTAAAACCACACACGCTACTTCTACATATGTCTTTGAAGAGTGGGCATCGGATGCACTGTACAATCTTTTGCAGCATACTGCTGACCAAGTGCTTTACTTGACAACCCTAGCAAACCTCACTACAACACAAATCACATTCAACCTCATCACCAATTTGCACATCTTATCGCAATCTTCTTCTTAGATCATCAAATCCACTACACACTTCTACTCATCGACTACACTACGGTCTACAGTCGTCAATCAAATTACTCACCAACAGTAGTGCATGTGCACCACAATCCACCAACACATCAACAATAGTCTATTCAGCTTACACAACGGATTTCCATTCATTTATTCCACTAAACACCAAACTACTGTCGAGCATCTCAGTAGCACAATTAAGTTAACTAAATATCGTCGATTTGTGTTGAATTGCATTGCGTTGCATGGTATGGAATTTCATTGCGTTCCATTGCATCATATCCAGTTGGGTTGCGTTCTGCTGCACCAGCTCTTTGTCTCATCCTCAAGTCGCACCAGTAACAGCAACAGTGATTAATGCAACTAAACCTGCATCTTGATTTACATACACATCTAAAACCACACACGCTACTTCTACATATGTCTTTGAAGAGTGGGCATCGGATGCACTGTACAATCTTTTGCAGCATACTGCTGACCAAGTGCTTTTCTTGACAACCCTAGCAAACCTCACTACAACACAAATCACATTCAACCTCATCACCAATTTGCACATCTTATCGCAATCTTCTTCTTAGATCATCAAATCCACTACACACTTCTACTCATCGTCTACACTACGGTCTACAGTCGTCAATCAAATTACTCACCAACAGTAGTGCATGTGCACCACAATCCACCAACACATCAACAATAGTCTATTCAGCTTACACAACGAATTTCCATTCAAGTATTCCACTAAATACCAAACTACTGTCGAGCATTTCAGTAGCACAATTAAGTTAACTAAATATCGTCGATTTGTGTTGGATTGCATTGCGTTCCATTGCATCACATCCAAGTAGGTTGCCTTCCGCTGCACCATCTCATTGTCTCATACTCCAGTCGCACCAGTAACAGTAACAGTGACAACTTGTCAATATATCAGCAGCACATCAAAACACTTTATTGATTGCACTACAGAGCAACAACACCAGATATTTGTGCAGGTGAATACCAACCAGAATCAATCAACTCAATCGTCTTCGATTTCCCTACTACCTAAGTTGTGGTAACATGCAAGCAAACCTGCATTTGGATTTACATTGCCATACACATGTAAGACCACACACACACTACCTTTACTTCTGGCCTTTATATAGCCCAACAATATATGAGTTATTTTAAACATACGGAACAACCTCATCTTAGTTACCGATCAGTGGTCATGTGAACATAAAAGTCAGATCATAGAAAAATATGGAAAATTATTAAAACGTAAAAATAAACTTTTTAAAAAAATACATGATCACAGGGGTAAAAATGAAATGAACTCTCTTATTGAAATGATTACTAGTAAGTCATATATGAATAAAGAAATTAAAAGTTGGCACTTAGATAAATAAATAAACTCCAGTGACAGTGTTTTTCATCTCAATGATTCAATGGTGATGTAACATGTCCAAGAAATATTGGTAAAGAATCATTCCAAATAATTGAAATGAAGAATGGATGATTAATACGAAATTCTGGTATATGTTTGTAAGATCTTCCAGCTGAGTATCGAACCATTTGTATTGCTGTAGCTGCAGCTGCTACTGCACCTTTCTCATCTACCTATATTTTATAAAAGGAAGTATAAAGAGAAGCAAAGACAAACAATGAAAGATACTATTTACACATTGCCTCGCATAATTAGAAATCCACTTAGTTATGGTAAGCAAAGATGGATAGTGGCTAGCAGTGGAATCCAGGATACGCGATTCGTCCTATTTGGGACTCGTCAGCCATATGTACCTACATCTACTGCTAGCCACTATCCATCTCTGCTTACCATGCTTGTGAATTAAGGCTATATCGAGGCAATACACACAGTATGCACATATGTCAATTAGAAACTGATCAGTTGCAGTCCTAACACATCGATGGGAAGATTCAAACAAACAATACTAAATATCACTTAGTCATTCTATGAATTATAAGATTTCGTTTGATGTAAAAACTACTGTATTATTCTTTTCATAACAAAATTACTGTAATTTAAGTCACCTTGTATTAAGGGAGGATGATAAATCCAGTTAGGGAATTAGGGCCAAGGAAGAGTGAGAGGTTGAACAAATTGTCTCTGCACGCAAAGTTTAGGCTTGAGTTTATGGATTGCCAATGCCTCAGCAGTGCATAAAATATTGATTCGACCCCCCCGTTTGATCCGGTTCCTTTGACTGGATAGTTTACTGTAAAAGACGAGTCTTTTGGAGCGATGTGTCCACAGTTGATTATATGCTCTTGCATTGAACTAGTTATCTTTTTACATTCTCCTTTTAGTAGCCAAGCCAGATGGTGTTCCGAGATGCGTTTGGAAAGTGATCGCTTTGTGCGGCCTATGTAACGTGTCCCACATGAGCCATTAAATTTATAGATACACATTATTGTGGCCCAAAGCGAAAGTTTATCCTTAACATACCCCAGAATGGTAGGCCAGCTAGAAAAAACGATTCGAAGCTTAGCTGTGTAGAAAGTTTTGTTCAACGATTTTGAAATCCGTTTATTCAGAATTTCAACAGCCGTATCTCCTTTGAATTCCATATTCATAAACAAAGTTTTCTTCTGCACTGTCAAAGCTTTTTTCTGATGAAGTCTAAGTGTTAAGTTGCTGTCGACCAACCTAGGTGGATAACCGTTTTTGATGAGGGTCTGTCGAAAATGAAGTAGTTCTTCATTTATTGTGTCATTAGAACAGATTCGCTTGAATCAAGTTCTTCTTTCGACTCAGTGGAACCCAACTATGCAAATTCGTGTATTGTCTATTCTAAGTAGGTTTTCTATACATAGATCTTTGTAAATAACCATCAGGCATTCTTTTCAAACGGACATCAAGAAAATGAAATTTATGGTTCGCTTCTGCCTCTAAGGTAAATTGAATTGACAGGTGACAATTATTGAAAATATTTCAGATTTCATTGAGGTCCATGTCACCTTGTATTCCAAACAAATAATTAAGTCTAGTTGTATATTAAATATTCAACTACATTTACAAATATTAAAACTGACACATAATTATCTGAGATAAAAAGATATCCTGAAAATGTGTTCTTTTACATGTATCTAATTCGCTCACCTCAAATATAGCTTTATGCATCACATCTGATATACACATTCTATCTGAGTCAGAAACATTTGAAAAGTCAGCTGATAAAGGACAGAATGCATCGTTTATTCCCAATTTCCGTAGATGATTTTTCAGTTTTAAGGCACGACCTTCTCTCAATTTAAATTTAGGCAAATACAATTTCAATTTCGTATTTTGAAAACTACTGGAAAGTATTGAAGAAATTCCACCATGTTTATACATCGAATCCAGCAAATCTGGCAATCCGTCATTTACATTTGGAAGAATAACTAATAACGTAAACCTGGATAACGAAGTGTTAGAAAAAGAAGGGATACCAAAGTAATATCAAGCAGTAATGTGAAAGATTAGGGTTTGAAGATGTTATCCAAGGAGTATAATGCAGTGAGATAAATTTGAAAAGAGAAAAAAGATAGAGACATGAAGAATTCAGAAGATTAGAGTTTGGCCGAACACAAAAAGTGGATGCACCTTCGCCAATGCAAACGATTTTGAGCCTAGTCATTCAAGGTCTCTAACCATCGGTTGCTATCATCTCGCAGATCCCATCCAGATAGTCTAAACCTACCAATATGGCTCAGTCCACTTGTCAGTGACTTCATGAATTTGTGCCACGTTTTGGTCTGGCCGCCCCTAGCTTTCTTCCAACCTACGCCTACACCATGAAACATTGCCCATTGGGGCAGTCGGTGGTTGGGCATACGTAACACGTGTCCCAGCCATCTCAACTGATCAAGTTTCTCTACTTCATCAATCGATTTGCCATCCTTACCTAGTACCCGTTTCCTAACAACTACACTACTAACCCGGTGGTCCCAGGATTCGATAGTTTATTTTTTTTATAAATTGAATCAACTTTGATTAAGTTAACATCATTTGCAGTTGTGTCCAGTGGTCTATGTATTAAGTATTCATTCACCGTACTGTAGAGTCAAATATACCTACCTCACTATACATTTTTGTAACAAAATTCTATCTATAATCCTTGCATAAAATGTGTACCCTTAATTTTCGTTTAAGAATTTACATTACAATCGGGTCACACTTCTTCTTGACCTTACAGCTCAAGTAATCGCTGAAATGTGTAAAATAGTTTGTACTTGAGAGTCAAAATGGTCTCCGACTCCACCAATAACGACGTTAAAACACTTTACTGGTTGAACAGATATGAATAAAAATGTCTTGATTAGTGTTTAGGATACTGATATACAAGTATGGCAGCATAATAACACACATTATAATAAGTATAACGGTGGTTACAAGTAGTCAACAGTAAGAGTTGAACCCAGGTTTTATGCTATTTGACAACCGTCAGCAAGGTGTACCTGTATCCTTGAGAGAACTGGTCACTACTCATTGATCAATCAATTGTCAGTGCATAATAAGTTTACAGTCTCTTATTCCGAACTTTCCCTAAATGAAGAGACGATAAAAGCAACGCACCTTTAAGCTATAATCCAAGTTCACATGTGCACTCAGTAAATAATCATCACAGAATCCTATACCCTATGATAAATCAATTTAAAGTGTTGAATAAATTGATAATATTGTGGAGAACTCAAAACACTGCAATTATAAGTGATTTTCTATAGGGGTTTGTTATTTAGATTACTACTGAAAACTATTACATTTGTTTTCTAAAAGGTACATCATAAACCAGTAAAATACAATACACTCGTTTCAACACTGATACTCACTTCGGGTTTTTAAATGGTATTTTAACAGCTCGTGACTTTAAGTGGGGTAAACTGGCCATATTGAAATACGATTCGTTATGCATCAACTTCACACTCATTTTTGATCCGTTTAGTTCATAAAACTCGCTAGTGTGTGTGTTGTCCTCAGGGAAAGACAAATTCCACATACCTGAATAACAACATCGGTTAAGATTTTTCGACTGATATGAAGCAGATAAATATAAAGTGTATGTGGTTAGAATGAAATTTATAATTATTAAAAATTAGATTCATACATTCTTTTACCTTTGAAGTATGTAGTAGCTGTTACTACAGCAGAAGTGTCGTTTGTTAATGAACCGGGTGAAATGAGTTCTTGAATTTGTCCTTTAGTTTGTTCACTGACCCACTGGTTTATCCGGTTTCGAGAACCTTCTATGTCAGTCTCAAATGCCACCTTCACGAAAGATTGGTAACGAATAGCAAGAACTTACATGTTCTGTTGGAGCATTGTAGTTTGTCTTCAGATTAGCTTTGAACTGCTCTTTGATTCTTACATTTTGTGCAACGAACAATCTATTAGCAAGGATTATCTCAACACCTTTACTAGGTTTCGAACAATCATTTAGAAGTTGAGCAATTTCACAATGAACTTGATCGTGTTCTAAACAGTCAGACAATTGCATCGCTCTTATCATCTCGGCTTTCGTATTGTTTTCGCTGCCAGAAAGAACCATTCCGAGGGCAGTATAGATATTGAAAGGGGAGAGAAAAGTATTTTCCCACTGACCTAAACACATTCGTAGGTCTATCGTATCAGAATGAACTCACCATGACTTTCATTTATTATTTGTTCGTAAAACCTGTCGGTGAAGCTCGTAAGCGATTTTAATGCCTCCATCTTGTAAGAAGTAGAAGGATGTCAGAACAATGACTACAATGAAGTATTTGTAGTGAGAAACGTCAAAGAAACAAAGTAGCAATCGTCTATTAAAGAACTTCAAACTGAGAGTGGGGTTAGTTAAAATTACACTACTCCTACAACTATCTACCTACGAGGATTACAAGTCAGTCAAAAGGATAGTGTCTAAATTTACTTTGCCTTCCTTCTTCAGTACAATATTAAATTTCATACGGTGATATGGACGGCCTTTAGCGAACCGACTATCATTAAAAGTAAATACAGTGAAGAGAGTTGTGTAGCATATTGGTAATGATGATGTGCATCAATCTAAGACCAATGGAAAAACTATATCTAACGTTATAAATTATAAGAGTCCAAATGTCTTCATGAATCATGACCTCAATACAAAAGCCAACTGTGGAACATACACTCCTCAAGGTTTCCACCTATGTTAGTTACAATGTAAACCTATTCTTCACATTAAATGCACATTCTACTCATAACTGACTTACATCGAAGCAAGTCGTTAAAAAAAAGCCAGATTACATGCTAAATATGAAACGAATACGTTGGAACGAGCTCTAAAGACAGATATTGAGAAGGCAAAATTGCCTAATTGTCCACGTTTTATTGGAGTTTCGGTGGTAACCGTATACCACTTTACCGTATACTGAAAAGTCATGGGACTACCATGTATCGTTAAACGAAAGCCACCTATATTACTTATATAACCGTCAGAATATCATACAAGCACTGAAAGCTAAATTAGAATGATCGGTCGAACATTTGTCCAATTAAACCCTAAGTCTAATACATTTGCTTTACAGGAATTTATAATACATTTGAGGATGACAACCAACCCATGTCCTACTTAATGTTTTGGTTACCTTATCAATGACAGTGTCTGATCCAATTCTGTCAGACAATTGACCAGTTGGAAAACTACAATTTTCGTATGTAATCATATTAAAAAGCCGCAATGAATGGCTTCTGGGTGATAATGATACGTGAAAGAAGATCCACTTCGTTTTCGATAAACACCATTTTAATGAGCTTATTTCCTAACTTCTGTGTAAAACTTTGAGTGTTTTGAGAAAGCCTGTCTGATTTTAAATGCATCTGTAATTAAGTACACGTGCCTAACTAATAACCCATAACCTTTTTCTTCTGTAAGTTTTCTTCAAATTACAATAAGACTTGGTAATCATAATTAAAATACATATAGACCGATGTTCTGGCATCTGTCAAAAAAAAACTTTTAACGTCAATTGCAATTGTACTGTTGTCTGTTGTGGAAATAAAGGCAAACATGGGAGACGTTCGAGATAAGGCCAAAGGTGTGTTTAAAAAATTAAGCGAAATTTGGTAACGTGCATTCAGGCAAAAAGTAAGGGACTCAGAGACATTGAAAACACAGAGTGACATGAAATGGAAATTTCCCAGTTTCACTCTGATAGACGACAAAGCAGACATTTAGGTGCGTTTCCTCATTATTTTCACTTTATTGTTTGCTTCGATGATGGTCTACAGACCGTGTGGTTCACTTGCAGTTAAAAAGGCGAGTGATAAAAACCCATGGTAGAAAAGGCTCGAGAAAAAGAAAACAACGGCTGCAAGTACTAACATGAGCATAAAACCTAGTTACAGAAATAAAGCATTCAGTCTTCGACAAGTTTACATTTAGTCTGGAGGTAGTTTGTGTCCTTGTGTAGTGTGAGAATAAGAGAATCGGTTATATTTGGAAATAACACAAGCGTGATGACAGAACAATCTAACAACTGAGACAACAACTTGACAGTCCTAAGTCCCGAATGAGTTACGTTACTTTTCGAAACACTGTTATAAGTAAATACTTCCTAAAGGCCATTCGATGCCCAATATTTTGGCCCTGCAAAACAAGTAGTTGAAATGAATAGTTTTGTAGACCTTCGGCCTTGCCTGTTGTGGTTGATGGTTTTTCTGAATACAATTTCAGTTCGAATAAACATTAACGTATGAACATTTATAGTATGTCGGTCTGCTTATCTTACTCAACAACTAGATAGCTTATATTCATTTGTTTGAATGTATTTTCGTCACACAACATCTCAGAATTCTGGCTTCATCGGACCCAGGATTGTTTTACAAGATACTTTGGACATACGTCTTGTCAAACACTGATTATCCATGAGGTATCAATGATAACATAAGCTGAACCAAATGGTTTGTTCGCATCCACGGTTCAAAGTCTTCGTTTGCACAAAATGAATGTGTCTTAGCCATTTGATGGAAATATTCATAGAGAGCTGGTGTATCTTGAGTTTGGTCGAACGGTTGCGTCCCTGACCAGAAGTGTAACTACACCCAGCAGATTTCGCGTTTGAGGTTAAGTGACTGGTCAGCTTCGGCCTTATAATTAAGAAGTAGGTCAATGGATGAATGGACAAGAAAGACACAGCATGGTAAAATTTATCAATCAACAAAAAATTGACAAACGAAAATGTGGATGCTAACAGATGGACGTTGGTGACAAAGCGAAAGCAGTGTAACATGGGTAAATGATAGAAATAATGGCATTGGATGGAATCAACAATTATCATGCATCATTCACATGATATTCGTCAGTATGTATATTTGATGTTGTAAGGCGCCTAGTTGTTATATTACGTATTTGTTCATCGTTTCAGGAGTCAGATGAGAAAAAGTGGGTGAATCTAGGAACTTGGAGTCGTTTTACAGTTAGTTACTTAGGTAAGGTTAGAACATTGAAAATCCCCATAATGATTTTTGTCAGAATCATATGAACTAAAGATGCTCTTTCAATAGCTTCTCACAGTGACCTATAATTTTATATCAAAATGAATAATCCACAAAATCGGTCCGATTTAAGGTGGAGTACATCATTTAATATCATAACATGTGAAATAAGGATTGTTTGTCATATAAAATCAAATCGAATCGTCAGTGTTGGAATGACTAATATGAAGTGTTGACTTGAATCAGTATATAACTGAAATGAAATTGTGAGATAAATGATCATTAAAAAAAATCTGGTCCACACGGCGTGAGTGAGAGAATAATGTGATTACAAATCAAAAATTATATATTGTGTACAGTAATACGAATTAGGCAAGAATTAGTAGGTAGGGGTGAATGCTGGATAAATTTCTGAAAGCGGTTAGGAAGTGAGGTAATTGTAATAATGACAAAGGTATGATGTGAGGATAAGTTTAGGATATGAAAATGAACATTATTCAAATTACGCCACCACATTTTAAAATTGATTGTTAACTAGTTGAACTCGAAGTTGGCAAGGGTAAAAAGAAGCTGCTGACCATAATTCTTTTGGATCCTAAAGTCTAGCTTTCGGTTCAAATGGCGATTGCTTTAACGGTCTGCAGGATTCGCAGTCTGACAAAATTAGATATACTGCTGTTAACATTATATATTATGATGGAAGATTGCTCCATGTTGGCCGTATGCCCTTCTTCAATTCAGTGTGTGCATCGCCTCTGAAATGTAAGCGTATATACACAGGCATTTGGTCACAGCCTAACAATCCATATACTCTTTCTTATTGGTTAGATGTTTATTTATAAATGTCTCCAAATATCTATCTTCCTTCAGAGTCGTGTATAATGCCTCTGTTTCTTCTTCAACCGCATCTAGAGAGCACATGGACATGATTCTATGATTCAGAGTCTTAATCAGGTTCCTTTTGTATTGTGGAGGAACAAAACCAGGAAAAATTGTACATTGGCCCGTCCAAGTAGCTTTCTTGTTTACGTTTCTTCTTAATAACGCCTCTTTTCTACTCGTAAGTAGAACATCTAGAAAGGCTATTCTGCCTCCATTTTTCTTCCTCAGATGTGTATTTTGTTTAATCGCTCGAGTGTTTCTACCAAGCCAATGCGGTCGTTACAAAGGATTAACGCACCGTCCATATATCTGCAGTAAAATGAAAACGTGTTAATCTGTTGTGCTGGTGGACCGCTTTCTAGTTTGAGGGAAATTTCAGCCAATATAAGACCTAGAGGTGAATCCCCGCGACACCATCTATTTCTTTATGCATGTGACCATTGGGTTTGAAATGAATGTTCATAGTACATTTCAGTGGTGGTTCGTTGGTGATCTCCATATGGATTGTAGTCTGTCTCTTGTTCCTTAATTTGTTCATGAATATATATATATATATATATATATATATATATATATATATGGAGTGAGTCATGGGATGGTTATCGCAGATTCTCCCTTGTACCTACTTTTGCTAACATATTTCTGTGATAACGTCATTTGTATTATCAGGTCTCCAAAGCAGCCATAAAACTTCGATACAAGGAGACACTTTTAGTACCGATCACAATATGTGACTTCGAAGTTGGCTGCTGATCACACCATTCCCGTCCAACTCGAGTTGGCCTCCAATCATTCGACATGGATAAACTACGTTGGTGATCTACAAGTGTCTGTCAGTACTCACATTCCCCACAGTTTTATTGTATTTATACAACCGCTGTTACTGACCATAAGTTGTTTTGGAGTTTGTCCTTCATGTTTCAGTCAAGCAGTTTATGAGTGACACTCACTGAAAACAAAGCCCTATCAACCAATTTTTGTTCCCAATCAATTGGCTCAGGCATTGATGGTCCCACAATATTAGGGCTTTATGCATTTTCTAGTCATACGTTTCCCTATTATCAATTTACTCGGAGAGTTAAATGGCGAAATCAACTTTTATTATGCCCACTTCTTTACAGATCAAAGTTTACCGGTTGCAAAGCCATGTTTCGTTTGCCGTATGAACTTGATCGGTACATAATAAATCCGTCTAAATTAATTAATAACCATGCTTTCGATGAAACGTTTATGACAAGTGACGCGTGTTTCAGAAGATTAAGCCATCACACGTTTAACGGTACTGAATTTGTGTATTCGCTAAGAAGCTTAGAGAGCGCATAAACCAGTGAACTGTACCATAAAGCGTGCTTTTGTGTTTCTGGTATTCCATTGATGCA